GGACGATGCGGCTCCAGGCCCGTTCGGCCGCGGATGCTGCGGGGGAAGGTAGGGGGAGGCCCAAGGATGACGGGTGCGGAGGGCACGCGGAGGAGGGCGTGGCCTGCGCTGGGCGGATAGAAGGCGTGTTCTACGCCAAGTCGCCGGCAACCTGCCACACAGAGCGCCGGGAGGGCCGGGCGGCGGCGGAGGTAAGTGATACAGCTCCCCGCCGCCCCCGCTATCGGCCCTGCTGGAGCCGTAGGTTGCCGACACCCGCACTATACCAAGCCAAACAAACCAAATTGTGGTTTAAAGTCAAATGTGAAAACTCAGTCTGTAGGAGCAGATTTCATAGGCTTCTTCCCCATCTAAGCTTCCTTGGTATAATTTGATTCTAACGTAGCATATTTAATTTGTTCAATTATAAATAAGTGCAACTTTGCTTGAGAAAATTAAATAATTTGTTATTGTCAGAAAAGAAAGGTTGTGTACTTATGAATGGAGATTATTCAGACTTAATAATACTCCAGAGATGAATCAACTAAGCATGTGAGAAACTAATAAAGCCTACACAAGGGGGAATGAATAGATTTCTTCATGACTGAGTGAAAGAAGAACAGCCAGAGAGACAGAGAAATATATTAGTGACAATAAAACACCAACAATAGTACATAAACTCATAGGAACAAAATAAAAATTTAAGAATCTTCTAAAATATAATAGGAAAATTATATATACAGTATCTATCTATCTATCTTTCTTGTAGGTCAACTTTTGAGAGAGAGAGAGAATCTTTATAGTCAGTTCTTATCTTAATGGCATAGAGAGATGGTGAAGGAATTACCAATGCATAGAGTAATAGTATCATGCAAGAGAGCTGAGGCTATAAAAGTTGGCAGGAGGTCTCACATCAAGGCTCCCAGCTGTTGAGTCTTGTGCTACCAATATCTTGATGCCTCTGATCAAAGCACTGATGCTGTTAGAGTGCACCATCTAGATGAACACATTTCCCTGGGAGAAAACAAGTGTCTGGAAAGGTTCTAAGAAATGGCCTGTACAAATTTGCAAATGTTTCTGCAAAAGCAGAAATTTTCCCTAGGGAGCTGAAAAAAAGCTATTCAACAAATCTATCGTCTGTCTGTGTCTGTGTCTATGTGTGTCTGTCTGTCTATCTATCTATCATTTAAATCAATTTTACAAGGTTTCTATGCTCCTCAAGTCATGTGTGGCTCCATGCAGCTTAAAGACCTCCAAAACAGTAGTAAGATTGAAATGAAACTCAACACTGTAACAGTATAAACAGAATAACTATATAGTTTTGCAAGTGCTAAAGAACAACCATAGCTTATATACTTGATCCTTCTCTAGGAGAGACAAAACGGCCTCTCAAACTCTGCTCAGATAGCCAGTTCTGAACAGCTTTATGAAATGCTAACAGAGTCAGGACCCATCTGGTATCAGTGAAATGTGGTTCCAGAGAAGAGGGGCAGCAACTGAGAAGGTCCAACTCCAGAATCCCTGCAGAAGAACCTCCTTAAAGGTCAGGACCCAGAGGGAACTCTCTCTGCCAGATCTCAGTGGAGGGGCAGAGACCACATGAAGAAGAAGATCCTGCAGATATCCAAGTCCTGAGCCATGAAGGGCTTTAAAGAGCAGCCAGCATCTTGAATTGCACCCAGAAAGAGACTGGTAATCAATACAAAGGTACCAATACCAAAGCAGAGGTATGACATGGGCAAATCAGCTGAGAACAATAACTGCTCAAGCTGCTATATTCTGGACCAGTTGCAGTGAATGGTTAGTGGTTGGTCTTCAGTTACCATTAAGTGAGTGTGAATCCTGCAGGAGATATGAATGGCCATAAAGGTCTCTATCCCTTCCAACAAGGATACACTGGGAGTCCCAGAAGAAGACTTTATCTCCCAACCTATATCTTCAACCGTGGCCTTCATCAATCAATCCAGAAACAAATCCTCATAATTACTTACCTTTTAGAAACAAGGATAACCCCAGTGATTAGTATGACAACAGCAAGCATGAAGAGGGCACCAGTCACCATGCTAAGCAGGCAATTATTTTTGTCTTCCGCTGGATAGAAGAACAGATAGAGTTCAATAGATATTGTTGTTTTTCTAGTCCTATCCCAACATTTTAAGAAAATCCATTCTCTCTCTGCTCTAGAGATAAGTGCTCTGGTGTTCCTCTGATACATACCACTCAGGGGGTGCAAAGGTTGGAACCAACTCATGCTCCTTGCCATCAGAGAAGCTGCTCCGGGACTGAATCTATACCACCTCCCCCATTTATCAAACCTCAAAGACTACTGCTGTAGTCCGAGAATCAGCAGGAGATTAATTGATGTTAAAGTTTTAGATACTTTAGAAATCTATCATTCAGTGCAGGGACTTCAATACAGAACACAGCTACAGTATTTCCAATCAGCCTAACTAATACTTCAGTGTTTTCAGCCAAGGAGGTCCCATCACTTCCAAAAGTAGTCCATGGCTCTCATCAACCTCTTTAGATATCTAGCTGTTGGATTTCTATTTGTCTAGCCAGACGTGGCAGTCTGGCATCAACCGTTCCTGTCCGTCTGATAAAGAATTAACAGTTGAAGTGCAGTCTAGCCAACCGATATTGACTGTACTAAGTGGGTGAAAGGGGCATTTGTAATCTGAAGACAGGTTGTTAATATTGTTTCTGAGCATGTCGGTTTAGTTCCCCTGAGATAACTGCAACCTCTGCTATTACACTATACCTAATTTTTCCAGGTTTAAAGAAGGGCAACATATCTTTTCCAAATATCGACAATCTTCCAGTGGTTTTTCTTGCAAATGAGTGGTCATTTCTAAGATATTACTCAATTGAAATGATTACTGGGGTGGTTTCTTAAAAAAGAAATATTTCTACAATGAAAAGTAAATATATGGAAGTACTGATGTTAATAATTCATACACACACTATATATGAAAAATAATCTTCTAACAGTCCAACACTGTATTATTATTAATCTCTGAAATTAAAGTTATTCAAATGCACTCTCATACAGCTCTGGGAATTTTTTAGAGAATCAAGAGAAAAGGATTTTTAAAAAATCCTAATTTTAAAATTTGTGGAGAGACAGAGCTATTTTGGCTCTTCATTCCAGCCAGAACTTAGCTTGGCTGCAAAATACCCAGAATACATTCAGCAGTACAAAAAATATAACCCCTTTGTTTTCAGGAGACATGGCATGGTCTAATGGGAGTCGGATTACCAGATACGAGCTGCAAAAATTGGTGGGACCACTAAATTGTAGCAAACGATTAAAGTTTTCTCTGTCTCTTTGTCACCTTCTAATGATTGCAACCCAGATCTGTGAGTGCTATGAAAGAGAAGAAAGGAGCAGCTGATCATTTTAAAATCTTTGCTTGAGGAAGACAAGGAACAGTAATATTCCCCATGCATTTCGAAATTTCAGGGTGAAACCTGGTATCCTAGGTAGTAATATGTCAGGCCAAACCCTAATAGTCTCTACTGTTGTGGATTACCAGAATGGCCCATTGGTGCAAGAAGCATTTGTGTAAATACCAACATTCCCAGTAACTCTCTTGAAATGAGAGTTTGCTTAGTAAGGCCATCAGTGCATCTGAACCAAAGTGTAGCTGGTCTAAGTTGGTGTTCTACACAAGGACAAATGGTCAATAGCCTTCTCTTCCTCTGGTTACCCAATGACTGGCATTTTTATTCAAGCTAACAGTCAAAAAGAGCCAATGTAATGTAGTGGTTAAGACACCTGGCTAGAAACCCAGAGACTGCTGAGTTCTAGTCCCACCTTAGGGACAAAGCCAGCTGGGTGACTTTGGGCCAGTCACATTCTCTCAGCCCTAGGAAGAGGGCAAGGGCAAACCACTTCTGGAAATCTTGCCCAGAAAAATGCAAGGACTAGTCCAGGCAGTCGCCAGGAGTCAATGCTGACTGGACGGCACACGCACCCAACAGCCAACAATAGCACCCTCTGTGAATATATTTGCCACCCTTTCAAAACCTGGTGCTATTGCTAATATATCCTGTGTTAACAAATTCCAGCTTAAGTAAACGTATTTCCATGGATCCTTCCTGATGCTTTCTACATTCAGGTTCCCTCAATAATTCCAGGTTCTGCATTCCTCTGAGCAAATGTCAGTGTTGCCTCACTTACGTGCCATAGAGACTTCAAAGGATGCTTCAGCAGAGCCTTCTGTGTTGGCTGCCTGGCACTGGTATTCGCCTGCATCCTCCTCCTTCATATCAGAAAGGTTCAGGGCATTACTGGGCTGAAGAGGTGTCCCCAAGATTTGGGATCCCTTAACCCAAGTCACATTGGGCAAAGGGTTGCCTTTCACCTTGCAGCGCAGCACGATGGAATCCCCTTTTTCTATCATGATCCGGGAAGCTTTTGTGAAGTTTCTCAGATCTGCAAGGTTCCAGAGGGACAGTCAGAAAATAATGCAGAGAGATCTCACCATTCGCTCGGATGATCTTACCAACATACATCTATTTCCAGAATGGACACTTAGATCAACATGCCTTGAAGTAAGGATATTTTGCAATTTGGAGAAGAAACTAATGTTATCTCATGTTGTTTGTCTGTAACTAACTCCTAAACATGAGACACGAATTACTAAATAAATAATTAGATTAGGAAAAGTATAAAAGCAAATCTAGGCAAAAGCACAGCTTTCCGAAGGCCCCAGGAGCCTCATGTAGGAAACATTTGCTGGAGAAGCCAGGTCCGGAAAGCAGACAGCAAAGGCAGCAAGGTGCTTCTGCTTCAGGCATGGGCGCCGGGCGCAAAAGGCAAAGGTTGGTGTGGGGAACTGGGAAAGAAGGCAGCTGGGTGAACAAATGCTTGCTGGCACTTGCTGGAGCAAGCTGGGGTGGCAGCAGCTTTGTGCTGTGCTGTGGTTCAGGGACTTCTTGCAGCCTCAGAGCCACGGGACACCAAAAAGCCCCTGAGCCACAGTATGGCAAGCAGCCCCAGAGCTGTGCAGTTCTGAGACTGCTTGCCACCCCGCAAGGCAGGTTGCAGGGCAGCCAAAAGGGCAGATATCAGGGGCAAGATAGGTGGGGGGGGGGTGGAA